GATGTTTAACAAATTATGAATGAATCGTTATAGGCAACTGAAGAGATCTAATTGTGAATGTATGGCATGTGTGCGCAAACGTACATATCTTTATAATATTAAGGAAAACAACCAACATAAAAAGAGAGACATGGTCAAAATTGGAATTATTTTCAAGAACAAAGGAAATACCTCCGTTAAAAGGAGTGTGTTTTGGTGATAAGTTTCCAAAAATGTCTTTTGATGTGATGGATAAACATATGATTTGATAGGTAGATTAATAGTAAATAAATGTGATGTAATATTTAAGTTAAGAATTAATATGGATAAAAGCAACTTTTTAAAAGAAATGAGAAATATTTTTTCGGACGGATAAAAAAGTAAAAGAGAAAAGTTGTCACGGATAGAGGGAGTATAACTGGAAAACTACTGTAACGCCCCAAAATATACCCTAAAATTTATTGAATTAAATATTCAATTAAACAAAATTTGTTTTGATTAAAATAAATTATTGTTGGGCTTTGGGCTGAAATAAAATATATATATTGATATCCAATAAACATAATTGGGATAAATCTCATAGAGATAAATCCAACATGTTGATTTATTGTGTGATCTTGATTGGGAACCTGAGTACAGACCCAAATTAAGAATAAATGAAGAAATTGTTTATAATGTGAACTTTGAAATGATTTATTGAAATAAATCATGGAAATAAATAATATGAATTAAATGTGAGAACCTTTTTGAATAAAGGTCAATTAAACCAATTTTGACTCTGTCAAAGTCAACCACCCAAAAATATGATGTCGGAAAAAGTATAACGAATAAATATAAAAATTATATCGTTAGATAGAGTTTAACTGTCTGATCGCAACGGTGCAATCGGATTTCAATTCGGAGAAAGTTGTACAGAAAAGTGTTCCCGGACTGGGACCAAATTAGTCCCAATCAGGGATTTGCGTTTGGAATCGAAGAAATATCACAGTCCCCTCCACTGAGACGCCGAAACAGGAACGGATACATCATCACCTTGGCCTCTTCCTCCATTCTTTTACTATATAAGAAACCCAACTTCACCATTTCTTCACCATTCTTCATCAAATTCATTCTGAGAGATAGCCTTGAGTGTGGAGAACGCTGTGGTGCTGTCAATTTGGTGAGAGGTCGCCGGAACAAGACGTGGTGTTCGCCGGAAGTTTCACCGGAAAATATTCAAAACCTTCATTTACCTTCGAGGTAAGCCCGTAGATATATCTAGTGATTAGAATGTTCGTATAGAT